AGTGGTGTTTTTCTCCCCCCCCCCCCCCCCTTAGCACAAAGAGACACTGATGTGACCAGCCACCCCTAAACCCACGCTGTAAAATATTCAGCGTGACACCGGAGCCAAGCTGGGGACGTGCCAGCACCAGGCTCCGAGGGGTTTTATTTCTCCTCCTAAAGGGTTTATTTGTCCAGCTGAAAAAAAAAAAAAAAAAAAAAGGCTTTTATTCTTCTTTTGAGGGGGGGTTGAAGGTGCAAGCTGGGTGCTTGCCCCATCCCTTGGGTACTGCAGGGGTGGGGGGGTCGGTATGTCACCTGCGGTGGGGACAGCAGACCCCGCCACGGCTTTAATGGTCCTTGTTTTAATTAAGTCCTCGTCTCGGCGTGGGAGAGCCCTTTGCCGATGCAGCTGTTCCCCCACCAACTCCCTACGGGGTCACGCGCTGCTGGAATTTAATATCACTCCGTGGGGCTGGGGGAAATCAGCAGAGCCGTAACTGCGGGGAAAGGGGGGTTTGGGGGTTAGAAATCATCTTTTTGGTTAAAAAAAGGGCGCTAAGAGGGACGTAAGACACTTTTGGGGAGCAGCCCCCTTGATTCTCCAGCACCGCTTGCAAACACAATGTCACAGATACACTTTTATACCTCAAAAAGTACTGCTAGAAAAGCAAATTGCCCAAAACAAGCGGGTTTAGCCTCATAATGGGTCCTGGGGTTGCACAGGGTGAAGCAATGCCCAGGGCAGGGGATGGGTTCCAGTTCCTGGTGCCAGTTCTCGTTGGGTGAGGGCAGTGCAGGCAGGAGAGACGGACAGGGGTGCCAGGTCAGTACTAGGAAATGCCACGCTTCACTTGCAATGAAAAGAGGGAGAAAAAGAGCAGCCAGGGTGGCTGCAAAGGGAAAAGGAAGTTTTTTGTGTTGGGGAAGGTGTAAAACTCTGCCTCCACGTCGTGCTAGGGCAAAGAGCCGGTCTCTCCCCAGGGGGAGGTGGGGTTTTGGCTGATACAGGAGATTTTGAGATTTGAGATTGAGATTATTAGCTACAAACCCAGGATAAGGGACCGTAAGACCCTTTAGCAGTGGGATGGGGGTCTCAAAACCCCCAAAGCAGCCTCCTTGTCAGCTGACTTGCACGTGCCACGCTCCCAACGAGACCCCAGTTCCCATAACAAACCATGTGCTTAAAAAAAAAAGGTTTCAAACGATATTTTCAACCCAACAGCAGAGGAAGAAAGGATGGGAGAGGGGAAAGAGCTGCACGCCCTCAGTGTTGATGCAGATTTATTGGCAAAACCGTTTATTTTAATGCATCTTCTGATGCACCAAATGCACCTTCATCCTCCGGTTGCAGGACCCGAGCCCATCCCTGGGTGCTTCAGGGCACCACGTGCCACCATTTGAAGGCGAAGGGTTTACGACGGACGTTGGTGCCGCAGTGGACGTCACCAGAGAGGACGTGGTAGGAGAAATAGTCGTCGATGAAGGTGCAGGTGAGTCCCAGGGGCTCCAGCAGCGCCCGCACCCGCTCCTCCAGGCAGCACTGCCCACCCACCAGTGGTCCGAAGGGTTTGGGGATGCCCAGGTGCCTCCCCAGCACCAGCATGTTCACCTGCAGCCGGATTCAAAAAAACCCCAGTGTTTTCCACCCAAAAGGTGTGTTTGTATTGGGTGTGGATGGAAAAAGAGGGATGGGAGGAGGTGGGGGGGGCTCACCATGTCTGGGAAGAGGGCGTCCGCACGGGAGCCCTTCAGGATGAAGAGCTGGGGGATGTCGATGATGTCCTGCTCGCTCAGGCCCAGCTCCTGCTTCAGGAGGTCGCGGTTCCAGTCGATGCAGCGCTGTGGAGAGGGGGGACCTGGAATTGCCACCCCAGGCCATCCCAGGCCCCCAGGTCCCATGCACGGACCCCTTGCATCCTGCCTGGTCCTCGTCTGCTCCACTGCATCCCACCCCAGCCCTCTGAGCAACCTCCTGAACCCAGCCCCAACCTCAGCATCCTCTTTCCTCCAATTTTGACACCTCTGCAGTCATCTCCCAGTGGGACAAGGGGCTGGGGTGACCCAGCACCCAAGGGTGCCTGGCTCCTTCGTGGCTGATCTTCTTGCCTGCCTGCTTTCACACCGCACGGTGCAACTCATTCCACGGTTTCTTGCTCTTCAGGATCTCTAAAAACGCTCCCCGCACCCACAAATCACCCAGCAGTGATGTGCAAGTGAGGAGAGCGAATCCACGCGTGCAAAGACCCACCTGCACATGCCTGTTGTCATTCCTCAGCGCTTCATCCGACAGGATCTCATCAATGCTTTTCCTCTCGGTGCCCTTCATCCCTGCATGAGGACCGTAGGAGAGCGGTAAGGGACACCGGTGAGGGATGCCACTGGTCCCCACTGATGCCCTCACCCGCTTCCTTACCGACAAGCTGCGTGGCTTCACCGTGGCCCTGGCTCTGCTTCTCCTTGAAGAGCTTGTAGCAGGCATTGGGGCTGGCCAAGAGGAGCCGGAAACCCTGTGGGAGAGAGCCCAGGGGTTCGTGCTTTGCTGTTGATGGGATATTTTATCCCACCGTCCTGCCGAGAGACACTGCGCTGACTCCAAACCCAGCCACAGGTGGTGTGGGGGGCACGGGATGCCACCCAGGGACTCGCTGTTTTCCAGGAATCCACCCCAAAATAAGGTGCATCGCCCAGCCCCCATGGGGAGGACAAGCAATTGCAAAAAGGGCTTTTTGTTTTGTTTTGTTCTGTTGGGGTTTTTTTTTGCATTTGCAGAAGACACCCTGTGCAGGAGCAGAGGTGGCTCCACGGACCGGTACCTTCCTATCGTAAGCGGGGACGAAGGTGAGGAATTCATCCACATGGCCCACGCTCAGCCACTCCGAGTAAATCTCCACCGGCGCCTGCACTTTCTGTGCGTAAAGAAAATCCCTGACCGCCTTGGACATCCGCCGGCCGGAGGCCCTGGGGAGCAGAGCGAGGAGGAAAGCGGCCATCACATCCCTCTTAGTAAATCTCCACCGGCGCCTGCACTTTCTGCGCGTAAAGAAAATCCCTGACCGCTTTGGACATCCGCCGGCCGGAGGCCCTGGGGAACAGAGCGAGGAGGAAAGCAGCCATCACATCCCTCCGCAAGATTTACCCCCATCCATATAGTAATATATCTATATTATATATAATCTAGGCCGTATACATCTATAGGCATCTGTGCATCACATCCCCCGTTCTGCTCAGGCACCTTTGGATTTATTTTCCCCCATCCCTGTGAATCTTAAATCACTCCTTACACAGCGCTTCGTGCAAGAGTGAAGTTTTCTTAGACAGACAGCAGCAGGCTGGGAAAATATTAATTAAACTTCTTGTAATAAGGGATAATTACGGTCCCGGCAAGGCTGGGAAAATGATATTTCCCTGCCACCATAACCAAAGCAAGCTCCCCAGCTTGCAGCGTGGCTGGGGTCAGAGCATCCCGTTTATTATCCTGGATCAAACCCCTTCTGGATTTGTCCCAGTTGGTTTTGTGGGGTTTTTTTCCTAGGGAAAAAAACCTCCTTTGTGGCGGATTTTGCAGGGCGCTGTTGTTCCCACAGGGCTGCCTAGCACTGCCTGCCCAGAGCAAAACAATTTCCAGTTATTCAGGCTTTTACCCTTTCCTGGATTCCCCTGTTTTTCCTTTTAATTGGCAGGAGGAAAAAAATAGCCTGGATGCTTACAGCATTGTAGGATCAGAGCGAAAGCACCAGTGGCTTGGAAGGGGGTAAAAATCAGGGATGAAGGAATAGCGATGCACATTAAATCTGGGATTTGAGAGGAACTGGCCCAAAAAATTCCCATTTTGATGGGAACCAGCCCCAAATTGCCACTCTGAAGGGTGCAACCCTTTCTCCTGCAAGGGCTTTCGGTGCTCCCCCGGCATCCCAGAGAGAGGGCTCGAGCTCCCCAGCATCTCACCAAGGCAGGGGGCTGCCGATCAGGATCCGGCCCAGGGGATACTCCTTCCCTCGCACCGTCACCGGCGGACTGACGTCCAGGTTGCCGAAAGAGTCGAGGCTGGAGATGTCTTTCCCGGGGGGCTCGCGGGTCACGTAGCCAAAATCAGGACCCTGGGGAAGGGGGGGAGCAGTGCTGAGGACCCCCCAGGTGGAGGATTCTGGGGGGGAGAAGGAGAGTTGGCAATACAATGACATACCAGGATCTTTTTAAAAGCAAAATCCTTCAAGCCTCTGTTCCTCGGCGAGTCGAAGACAACAGGGAACGTCTTGTGTGGTGCTTCCACATAGCCGAACTCCAGCTCATCCTGTTGTGGGAAGAAGAAGAAGAGGAGGAGGAGGAGGAAGAGCAGGGGGAAGAGGAATGTTCCTGGCAGGTTGATAGCCATCTCGGTGAGGCATGCGGTGAGGGTGGAGCAGGAAATGGGGCAAACCTGGCAGAGCCTGGCTGTTGCCCTTAACCACAAGGGAGGCAGCT